TTTCTTTCTTTCTTTCTTTCTTTCTTTCTTTCTTTCTTTCTTTCTTTCTCTTTCCTAATCTTATGGTTTTATTTTTCTGTGATAAACACCCACGAGTAAAATGGTTGGATCATATGGTAGGCACCTGTTAAACTTTATAAGAAACTAAAAAAACTTTTTCTTTTTTATAACATTTATTTTTGTTTATTTATTCTTGAGACAGAGAGGTGACAGAAAGAGAGAGAGAGAGGAGAGAAGGTGAACAGGGGAGGGTCAGAGAGAAAGGTAGAGAAAGAATCCCAAGCAGACTCCGTGCTGTCAGTGCAGAGCTGGTCCACAAGGCTGGAACTCACCAACCGGTGAGATGAGGACCTGAGCCGAAATCAAGAGTCCGACGTTTAGTCAATTGAGCCGCCCCGGCGCCCCAAGAGACCCTCCCCCCAAGTGGTTGTGTCAGTCTACATTACCACCAGCAGTGGAGGAGAGTCTCATTTGCTCCAGCTCTTTAAGCAATACTTGGTACCCTTCACCTTCTTACTTGTAGCTCTTCTGGTGGGTGTGTGGTGGCATCTCTCTGAATTTTAATTTGCATTTCCTTGACGGCGTCATTCTTTTTGTTCACTGCATAGTATTCCCTCCCTCTCAGCGAGTTGCATGCGCGCCTTTGTCCGCGCGCGTGCAAGCCTCCCCCGTGTTTTACAATGACTATCAAAGCAGCAGCAGGTAGCAACCTTTGACAGGTGCTCCCCATGCACACGCGCCTCCGATGGCTTCTCCAGGGTCGATGGCAGAGATGAATCGCACAGGGTGAACACGGTTGGATATAATCTTTCTGCCGGGTAACATTTTGTCCCACAGCCTGTGCTCACCCCGCTGGTTGTTACCAGACTAAAATTCTTGCCGATCTGATGAATAAAAAAAAAAAAAAGGCATCTTTTTGTCTGTTTCACTGGCACACAGTCAGCGCTCAATACCTATTTGATGAGTGAATGGGTGGGCGGACGAATGAATGGGTGACCACTGCTCCTAGCCCACCAAACACGCCAAGCTGGAGAGTCTCCGGAGAGCCCAGATGGGAAACAAAGGTTGGGGCCCCACCCTCTCCGGAGCCGGCCCCGCCCCCCGCCCCGCCCCGGCCCGCTCCGGGCTCCCATTGGAGGCAGCGTGCGGGGCTGGCCGGGAGGGCGGGGCGGGGCCGGACCGGGCCGGGGCGGGGCGCTGCAGCCCGCGGAGCCTCCCGCCCGCGCGGGCTGGGGTCGCTCCGGCTCGGACTCCCCTCCTCGCCCGACGCGGCCATGGAGGACGAGCGGAAGGACGGAGCCTACGGTAGGAGCCGCCTCTGGCCCGCGATCGCCTCTGCTGAGTTGGGGGGCTTTGGGGGAGGGGGACATCGGAGATCTCAAACACCCGCGCTGCAGCTGGGGGCCCCCCTCCGGCTTCTCGGCCCAGCATTCCTCTCTGCGCCGACCCCACGCCCCCCTGCTCCCGCCGGGTCGCCCTGCGTCCCCTCTCCCGGGAGCCCCCGCACCCCCTCCGGCTGATGGGCCAGGACGCACGGCGCATGCTCCACCCGGGGAGGTCCCGTTATCTGGGCGGCTCAGATGCCAGGCGGGGGAGGGGAGGCTTGGCGACCGGGGCTCGGAAAAGGGACAGGGCCCTGACTTCCCCAAATCCCCCTCCTCTTCTGGTCGCCTTAGTCCGCTTCTTTCTGCTGCCCACACCCCCCTGGAAGTAGCCATCTCGGGCTTCTGGCCAGATGGGGAAACTGAGGCTAGCCTGGGCAGACCGAATGCTGGGGTGGAAGGCCATCGGTTCTTGCTAGCGGCCTGGAAGGACAGAAAGAAGGGCGCCCTCGGTGAGGTCGCTGTAAGGAAGAGGAAACCATTGAGAAACTTTCCTGGCCGTGTACAAGGGGCTGGGGGGTGCCCGCTACCGTTTCGCAAAGTCCCTGCGACGCGGACCCCCCCTCCCCGGGTGGGTGGCCTTCGCCTCCGGGCCCTGAGGTTGGGGCCAAAATGAGGCCCCTCCCTACCCACGCCCTGCAGTGCCGCCTTTCCCAGGGTTCCCACGGAGGGGGGTTGCCATCCTCAGTTTCTCCTTTCTCTTCTCCATTTTGGGTCCCAGGGCTGAGCTGGGCACATGTCCCACGCAGCTCTCCCCTGGGGCAAAGGGGCGCTGCTGCCCCTCCTTGTGTGACAGGAACTTCCTGGAAACTGTGAGACAGAGGCTTTGGGGAAGGGGCAGGAAACCACTCAAAATAATCAAGAAAAACAAGCTGACTGGAGATGTACCTCCCTCCCCACTGCCTCCACAGTGGCCTCAGCAGGTTGTAGAGACAAACAGATGGGGGAGGCTGGGACCCTCCCTGCCCAGCCCAGCCAAGAGGGAAACACAGGGACCTGGCCACCACCCAGCCACTCCCCTCCCTGCCAGCCAATGTCCTGAGGGGCCTCCTTGCTCTTGGGTTTGGCTCAAACCCCAGACCCTGTATCTGTGGGTGCTGTGCGTCCCTTGGGTGTGGCTGGCTGTCTCTGAACTGGGAATCTCAGATTGGAGCCCTGGTCAGGCCCTGCCTGCCTGTGGGCAGCACCTGAGGGACCTTTGATGTCTTTAAGGAGCTGGGGTGGGGGATGGCAGTCAGAGTGGACAAGGATGTGATTCATCAAGCCTTGAATTTGGCCAAAGGGAACCAGCCATAGATGGGCCTGAGCAAACCTCCCAGGCCCTGCCAGACCCGCACTCCAGACAGGGGACCTCTATGCCCAACGGAGGTTACGCTGGGCGCCGGGAGCCCATTCCATCAACAAGTATTTTTTGAGCATCTTACAGGCACGGTCTAGACACTGAGAACACAGCAGTGAACAAAGCAGAAAAATTCTTGAATAAATGTATGATTTTAGGTTGTTGTTAAGTGTTGTGGAGCAGAGAACAGGACAGCATGTGTGTGGGAGAATCATCTAGGATTATTTTAGGTGACCCAGGGCTGGAGTTTGAGCCAATAGCCATGGGAAGATTTGGGAGAAGTGTGTTCTAGGCAGAAGGAACAGCAAATAAACCAGCCAGTTGCTTAATTATTTTTCTCTATGACGCCCAAGGAAGCCTGAGGTGGAGACTGCAGCTATGTCTTGCAAGCCAGGCCATCACCTCCTCCAGGGCCCCCCCCCCCTTGACTCCTTGAAGTGGGGGATCTCACGTAGTTTGTAAATAATAGTTCATTCTCATCAGAACCAAAAACCTGGAGCCCTCAGGCTGCCCCATGAAGTCACTGCCAGGAAATGAGGGGCTTTCCTTTGGGAACAGTGTCGCAAGGGTTGCTCACAGATCCCAGTGCTCACAGGGGCACGCCTGGGTGGCTCAGTGGGTTAAGCGTCCAACTTCGGCTCAGGTCATGATCTCACGGTTTATGGGTTCGAGCCCTGCATCAGAGCTCTGTGCCGTCCGCTCGGAGCCTGGAGCCTCCTTCGGATTCTCTGTCTCTGTTGCTCTCTGCCCCTCCCCCACTTGCACGCTGTCCGTCTCTCTCTCAAAAATAAATAAACATTAAAGAACATTAAAAAACCATATCCCTGGGGCGCCTGGGTGGCACAGTCGGTTAAGCGTCCGACTTCAGCCAGGTCACGATCTCGCGGCCCGTGAGTTCGAGCCCCGCGTCAGGCTCTGGGCTGATGGCTCAGAGCCTGGAGCCTGTTTCCCATTCTGTGTCTCCCTCTCTCTCTGCCCCTCCCCCGTTCATGCTCTGTCTCTCTCTGTCCCAAAAATAAATAAACGTTGAAAAAAAATTAAAAAAAAAAAAACAAAAAAACAAAAAAAAAACATATCCCAGCCCTCACACAGCCCTTGTATCCCAATGCCTTCCCATCCATCAGCTTTCATGACCTCAGGGGGTGAAGTCAGACAGACTCAGGTTCAAATCCTGATTCTGACACTTAGGAGCTGTGTCACCATGGGAGAGTTGGCGACCTCTCTGAGACTCTATCCTTGTCTGCAGGTCTAGGCAGACCATACTCACTGCTGGGCAGCATTTTGCACAGTGGCTGGTAGGCTCTCTACATGCCAAGAGGCCTCTGGGGCCCATAATGTCAGAGACATGGATTTTCCAGAGCTGATGGAAAAGCAGCCCTCTCTGTCTAGGCATAGACTTGGCGGGACTGGGCAGGGCAGGAAGCTCCCTCCTCTGCAGACACCATATTTAGATGATATGAGGAAACTGGGAAATGGCTCCTGGCCCTGACGGATGACATCAATGGGTACTGCCATCCTTCCCACCCACCCAGGCATGAGCATGGAAAAAGATTCTAGAACTTAAAACAATACACTCTGATAGGGGGCGGGGGGAAGGTGGGAAAAAAGTAATGGTGCTTGTGTAAAAAGCAGATTCCAGGGGCACCTGGGTGACTCAGTCAGTTAAGCATCTGACTTCGGCTCAGGTCATGATCTCATGGTTCATGAGTTCCAGCCCCGCGTTGGGCTCTCTGCTGTCAGTGCGGAGCCTGCTTCAGATCCATTCTCTCTCTCTCTCTCTCTCTGCCCCTCCCCCATTCTCTCTCTCTCTAAAATAAATAAACATTTAAAAAAACAACAACAGGGGCGCCTGGGTGGCGCAGTCGGTTAAGCGTCCGACTTCAGCCAGGTCACGATCTTGCGGTCCGGGAGTTCGAGCCCCGCGTCGGGCTCTGGGCTGATGGCTCGGAGCCTGGAGCCTGTTTCGGATTCTGTGCCTCCCTCTCTCTCTGCCCCTCCCCCGCTCATGCTCTGTCTCTCTCTCTCTCTCTCTCTCTCTCTGTCAAAAATAAATAAACATTAAAATATATTGTTGGGAGAGGACATTTGCTTGTTCATTGAACGTTTATTTTTTTTCCAAAAGGGGTGATACATTCACATGCTTCAAAATCCAAAAGATACAAAGACTGTGTGGCTTTATCATGAAGGGTCTCCCGTGCGCTCTGTCTCTCAGCATGACACAACCTTCTTGGCAAAGTGCGTCAATGTTCCAGCATCTAGTGCTTTGTTCCAAATGGAGTCTAGGCCTTAGAACCTCGCATGCAATTATATACATATTCCTTACCTAGTGGCTGTTTTTTCCCCCTTTTGCAAAAATGTCAGCAAATCCCTAGTGTGCGAACTCTGAGGCAAGATTGTGTGTGTTCAGTTTGAAGGTGGATCCGCAGTGCCTGGCACATAGTAGGTACTCAACAGCTATTTACCGAATGAAAGGGTGTTTGTTTCACCTGTTGCTTTTTTTTTTTTTTTTTCCGAAGTTTATTTATTTTGAGAGAGAATGTGCGAGGGCAAGCAGGGGAGTGGCAGAAGGAGAGGGAGAGGGAGAATCCCAAGCAGGCTCCGCACAGTCAGTGCAGAGCCCAATAATGGGCTCAAACACACCAGCTGTGAGATCATGACTTGAGCCAAAACCAAGAGTTGGGAACTCCACCGACTGAGCCACTCAGGGGCCCCTCACATGTTGCTTTTTGTTTGTTTGTTTGTCGCTTTTTGTTTCTTTGTGTAATGTATCTTGGAGACATCGCTCATGTCCATGCCTGGAAAGCTTCCTCGGTGTTTTTCTGACAGTTGCATAAAGTAATGTATGTGTGGATGGAATAGTTTATATTTACCCAATCTTATATTTAACCAATCAAGAGGAATATTAAAAAAAATTTTTTTTAACGTTTATTTTTGAGGGAGAGAGAGGCACACACAGAGTGTGAGCGGTAGAGAGTCAGAGAGGGAGGGAGACACAGAATCTGAAGCAGGCTCCAGGCTCCGAACTATCAGCACAGAGCCCGATGCGGGACTCGAACTCATGAATGGTGAGATCAGACCCAAGCCGAAGTCGGAAGCTTAACCGACTGAGCCACCCAGGCGTCCCTCTGGAAGAATATTTGAGACTTTGTATTGAAGCAGACAGTTCATACGTAAAAGGAAACAAATCCTAAATGCATCAGGCTCCAGAAGTTTTCACATGGTGAACACACCCATGGAATCAGTGCCCAGATCTGGAGGGAAAAAAAAAAAAAATTCCCAGCACCCCACAAGCCCCTCATGCCTAAGGAGGGCCAATCCGTATTATTATTTTAATCTTTTGTGGTAAAAAAAAAAAAAAAAGAAAAAGAAAAAAAAACATAAAAAAAACCTAAAATTTACCATCTTACTCATTTTTATTTGTATGTTTCAATAGTGTTAAGTATATTCACATTGTTGTGCTGTGGCCTGTTTTTGTAAGGCCAATGGACTAAGAATGGCTCCATTGTTTGTAAATTGTTGTTAAAAAAAAAAAAAAAAGGAGCGCCTCTGTGGCTCAGTCAGTTGGGCCTCGGACTCTTGATTTCCGCTCAGGTCACAAATCTCAGATCGATCCCTGCGTCCAGTTCCTGCCTCATGATGACAGCACAGAGCCTATTCAGGATCCATCCTCTCTCTCTCTCTCTCTCTCTCTCAAAAAATAAATAAATAAATTTAAATTAAAAAATAAAAAGGAATATGCGACAGACATGATATGTGAAACCCAAAGCTTCAAATCTTAACTATCTCCCCTTTAACAGAAGAAAATTTGCACATCTCCAGTAAGGACCTTCCCATTACCCCAGAAAGTTCTCTTATGCTCCGTCCCAGTCAATCCCCAAAGGGAAAGTTGTTTTTAAATAGGATTTAATTTTTTTTTTTAACATTTATTTATTTTTGAGAGACAGAGAGACAGAGCACGAGAGGGGGAGGAACAGAAAGAAAGAGAGACACGGAATCTAAGCAGGCTCCAGGCTCCGAGCGGTCAGCACAGAGCCTGACACGGGGCTTGAACTCACCGACTGCGGGATCATGACCTGAGCCGAAGTTGGACACTTAGCCGAGTGAGCCGCCCAGGCGCCCCCCTAATTTTAAATAGGATTTTAGTCTCTTACATAATAAAATAAATCTATTCTCATGGGGGCAGAGGGGAGGGGCTAAATAAAAATAAGCCCTCAACCACACAGAATATTTTAGTCTTCCTAGTGAAAGAGCCCTTTACATACCCTCGACTAATTGCCTTCATCGCAGAGGTAGCAGAAGCTTTTGCACAAGCTTAGCCTGTTTCTGTGTGTGTATGTGGCATCTCTACGGTATTTTTTTAAGGCTCCTCTGGCC